GTATCTTTTTAAAAAGGCACTTTCATACAAATGCAGTGATACCTTCCAAGACAAACTCCTTCTCTTATCTCAGAACTAATCAGAGCAATCTATAATTTAATTCACAACACAAACATTTCAGTAATACTAATTTACTAATTTACAAACTAACATTTCAGTACTACTAATTACCATGCAATCGTAGCATTTATGCACTCCCACAATCCCTTGCCCCTGGGGCTGATAGAAATTGAAGTTGTAATATTATTCATGTAACACATGCATAAAATTATATCCTTAAGCTAAATAACTCAATAATTATAGCCTGTACGATAATAAAGAGTTGGATAGTGAAAAGGTGATAGTTAATGACCATGGAAATTTCAATTTCATAGAACTGACATTTCTATGCATTTTAAAAGCAGTCTGAAATGAGAAAATTAGTAGAATAAGCTTTCTCTGTGTGTTTATATGTCATAGACTAGATGGCTGGATACCAAAGTGCATGATAATATTATGAAGGAAATGGACACATTTACTTCCAAATGATCCACAAACAGATGTTGTTTTGAAACATGTTTTTTTTTAAATCTGTGGATAACTATGTGTAAAATCTACCATTGAACAGCAGCCATTGACCAGACTTAACAAAACATCTTCTTTTCCATCCTAATTGTGGGAATATCTACACAAAACTAAGCTGAGGATCAAAAAGTTAAAAGAAATAACCAATTCTTTAGAAACCTACTTTCTCCTTATATACTCTGCCCACTGTGCTTGTCCTTGTTTGCATTCATACTGTTAATTTACAACATGTACTCTAGTTTATCTCCATGTGAAATAAAAAGAAGAAAAAGGACAATGGGAAAAAGTGCAATCAGAAAAAGGAATCAACTTTGATTGCTACCTGTCTCTGTATTATCTCCATGTTCATCCTATTAAGTTGATGGTTATTTTTGTTGAGTGCATATAATTGAAGGTGCTTTAAAATTAAGGATGAATATCAGCTGTAGCTGTATGCTGAGATGCAGAGAATGGGGTTCAGAAATAAAAACATATTCTTTAACTCAGGGCAAGTGATTTTTTTCCCTTCATCCAATTTTTTAAAATACCATTCTGAAAAGGGAAGGAACAAGAGAAGCAGATTCTTAATGCTTCGTTGGGGAAAAGACTCCATCACAGGTTGGGTTGGATCTGGAGAACTACTAGATGATAATGACTATATTTGCTACCTCCTATTACTGACCCTAGTCTGTATGCAATGAAACTGTATGCCATTCTTGCTTATAGATCAAAAGCCCCCTAGAAATGTGAACACTCACCTAGCTTCTCATCTGTATGAACAGTCTGGTCCATTAAAGATTTCAGCTCGGTACTTTGAATTAAGTAACTTTTCAATTGTGTCATCATTAAGCGAATCTCTTGTAGCATTTCTGTGCTGGAGATCTGCTTTGCCATCATCTCCAGACTGTAGACTTTATAGTCCTGCACCAGGTTGCCAAAGTAAGAGTCTTTATCCTGGGCTAGTTCCACAATCTTCTTCTGGAGCTTTCGGTCAGAAGAGAGAAATGCTGTGAAGACATTGCTTAGGCTGACCATGGACAGACGACGCTTGGCCCTGCCTAAAATCATCGAATGGGACTTCTTCACTGTAGGACTGGCCCTCAGTTCGAACTCATCTTCAGTGCTACTTGTAGAATAAGAATCTGGCTCAGAGGCAGACATTTGAGCCCTTGCGCTGCCTACAGGAGAATGCAATGAATCACTTGAACGTTCACAATCTGATATGCTGACAAGCTCAAGATGAGATTTTGATTCTTTTTTGGAAAGGGAGCAAGTTTTTTCTATTCTTGATTTATTCACTGGTTGAACTTCTGGCTCTTCAATGGTCTTTTGCTCCAAAGAAAAGGAGCTGGTAGATGATGACTGTTTAACGAACTTCTTCTTTCTTAGTGGTGGGATGGGAGGTTGGGAGGTTTTTCCCGATGATAAATTCTGCTGCTGTTCTGTAAGTTCTTTCTTGTCTTCTTCATCAGGCTTCAAGCTTTGAGCATTTGAGGCAGAGTTCTCTGTCACTTCCACCAATAAGTCTGGAGCTTTATCACCCTGGTAATCGTTAGCCAAAGTTGCATTCCTCCTATTCTGTTTTTCGACTTGTTTTTCTTCTGGCAGGGAACATTCCTGACTTTTATCCAAGGAAGAGTTTCTTGAAGTTCTCTCAGATAAACATCGCCTTGGTGGAATGGATGGAGGAAACTTCTTTGAATCTGTAGATGGAAGGCTATGAGGAAAAAAGATCTCTTGTCTGCTATCTTCCTTGTCTTTGCTAATTTCAGTTTTCATCTCCTTTTTGGTTTTCTTCAAATTTTGGAATTGATCCTCTTTGGAAGGGGTCATAGAAGATGTTTTGGCTTGTTTCACAGCATGAAAGGACAATAGAGGTGGTGGTGGTGGTGGAGGAGGAGGAGGAAGAGAAGGAGGAGGAAGAGAAGGAGGAGGAGGAGGAGGAGGAGGGGGACGTCGAGTAGGAGATCTCTTTGGAGGTTTTGTCACAAGGTTTCTACCGTCAGAAGGACTCTCCCTGAAGATCTCTGAAGGAGAAACGTGTGGGGGAAATTGATAGCTGCTCTCCTCTATAAAAATAGGATTTACAAACCACAGCTTGTCACTTCCTATTGACAGCTCAGTTTCATATGAACAATTGTTCGTGCCGCTTGCAAAAGGCTGGCAGGGGTTCTTTCCTTTTTTTGCCTGAGCTGTGATGTAAGCAGGGTCTTTCACAGAATGGAGAAGCCTTCTTCCTTGTCTTTGATGTAAAGAGGAGCTCCAGAAACCTGTGAATAAATAACCATATCCACAATGATAGCCAACCAAAAGCAATAATGTTTTAACGCTACTTGCACAATGTTGCTTAAAAAGTAGAATTATGTACATGAATATATCACAGTGTTTCAAACTGATCCAATTAAGGTAAATTAAGATAAATAGCGTAATGACATTATAGGAGGAAAGGAAATCAATAGCCTTCATTAATATATAGGGATAGCCAGTATTTTTCCCAATGTAGATTTCCTGGACATGATGAAACCCATTGCTTTCAAAGCCATTTGGAACCTTAATTCTGTAGTGGAGGGTTTATTAACAGTTTAATAAATGTACACACAACCTGTTGTAAATTCAACATCTGAAAGGAGGATGGTCTATAAGAAGAGGCAAAGATGATGAGTTAATGTGGCTAAGAATAGCCATTACCACTGTATAAAACTAGAAAAGCTTTGTTGCACAGAGCTCTAGGCTTCCAAAATGTTTGCATGACTTTGCACATAGAAGGGTTCTATGCTCTCTCAAACAATATGAAACAAGAAAAAGAAATAAAAAATGTAAGGGTTTCTGCATGAAGAACTCATAAAATCAAGATTCAAGGGTCTCCTCCATAATAGTTCATTGTAATGGTAGAACTATGATTCTATTGGAATATTTGCAGTGATTACCTAATTGTTGCAGGGAAAGGTTTCCTGAGTGACCAACCCTATCAGCATTTTCAGCCTTGCAATAGCAGTAACTTTTACAAGGATGCCCTAAAATAATGTGCAAAGAGGAAAGCCATTTCACCCCCACTAAAAACCAAACCACTCTATTGTGGTAGACAAAATAAGTAGTTAAGATAGTTAATAAACTAAGTCAAGACCAAATTATGAAGAAAAACCACACCAGAGACAAATCTGCCCATGTCTGTTTCCCAGTATATTGTTGGGGGTCTCCCTCATGTCTACAATAAGCAAGCCTACACAACTCATAGAGTGAAAAGGCCACATTGATCAATTAAAAATAATTTTAAGTCACAATGAATGAGCTCAGAGGTGGTATTCAGCAGGTTCTGACCAGTTCTGGAGAACCCATAGCGGAAATTTTGAGTAGTTCGTAGAACCAGCAAATACCACCTCTGACTGGCCCCGTCCCCATCTATTCTCTGCCTCCCGAGTCCCAGCTGATTGGCTGGGTCTTCTTTTGTTTCCCTGCACAGGAGAACGGAGCTGGAAAGTAGGTTAGTGGGGTGGGGAGGGAATGGGGATTTTGCAGTATCCTTCCCCTGCCACGCCCATCAAGCCACACCGTGCCCACCAAGCCACGTCCAAAGAACCAGTAGTAAAAAAATTTGAATCCCATCACTGGATTAGCTGTTCAGTGGTTAGCGATGTGGCAGCAGCATTGGAGCTAGTGGCATCAGGAGGGCTGAAGGCACTTGCCAGCATGCCTTTTGGGACAGTGCTGGCAGATGCTCATTGCTGGCGACAACATCTGATTTAACAATGATGGATTTATCATTTCAAAAAATGCCAGTGAGCCATATGTTGTGCAAGCTTGCTTTAAGTATGCCAACACTACCACCTCATCCTAACCCTCAAATATGGTGCTGGGAGGGCATCAAGATGAGGAGAGATTGAAGCTTGTTATAACAGCTTGGTTTGGTCTGAAAAGCTGTATTACCACCTTGTTAGAAATCAAAAGTTGCTCCTAACAAATATCACTTTATATAAATTACGTGTATGGACAATTGTATAGAGTTGTGTTACATGTGTAGAATAGCCTATTTCAATTCACAAGAATGTTATGATGTCTATGAAGCAAATTGGTGATGTACTCCACAAAGTTGTCCAAGCTTTCTAACTGAACACAGCAAAACAGATTTCCCTGTATCCAAAATGCTTTCTGCATTGCAATGGTTCTTATTATATTATCCATGACAGATCTCATGTCTAGAGTCTATTTTATTTTGTACCAGAATCTGAAAATCCACTCATACAATTTAACCACCAAATAGAGGTAGAGAACATCCTATTCTCAGTGCAGGGGATTGTTTAGAGAACTGAATGTTCTTTAATGGAAAAATTCACTCACCCAGTTTTCATTTAGAAACAATACTAAAATAATAGTAATGTCACTTCTCTAAACAACTGGGTATTAGAAAAAATATCCTGCAGATGGTTGCTAAGATTCTGATCCAGATTGTAGTCCTCTCTGTCTTAGATGAAAGATCATGTTTACAGGCAATACTCACTTTTTCAGAAGGTAAAACCAGCATATTTGATATTGTTTCCATTTCTACATTATAGGTGAAACTCGAAAAATTAGAATATCATGAAAAAGTTCATTTATTTCAGTAATGCAACTTAAAAGGTGAAACTAATATATGAGATAGACTCATTACATGCAAAGCAAGATAGTTCAAGCTGTGATTTGTCATAATTGTGATGATTATGGCTTACAGCTCATGAAAACCCCAAATCCACAATCACAGAAAATTAGAATATCACATGCAATCAATAAAACAAGGATTGTACATAGAACAATGTCGGACATCTGAAAAGTATCAGCATGCATATGTACTCAGTACTTGGTTTGGGCCCCTTTTGCAGCAATTACTGCCTCAATGCGGCGTGGCATGGAAACTATCAGCCTATGGCACTGCTGAGGTGTTATGGAAGGCCAGGATGCTTCAATAGCGGCCTTCAGCTCTTCTGCATTGTTTGGTCTCATGTCTCTCATCTTTCTCTTGGCAATGCCCCATAGATTCTCTATGGGGTTCAGGTAGGTGAGTTTGCTGGCCAATCAAGCACAGTAATCCCACGGTCATTGAACCAGGTTTTGGTGCTTTTGGCAGTGTGGGCAGGTGCCAAGTCCTGCTGGAAAATGAAGTCAACATCCCCATAAAGCTCGTCTGCAGAAGGAAGCATGAAGTGCTCCAAAATCTCCTGGTAGAAGGGTGCATTGACCCTGGACTTAATGAAGCACAGTGGACCAACACCAGCAGATGACATGGCTCCCCAAATCAACACAGACTGTGGAAACTTCACACTGGACTTCAAGCATCTTGCAGTGTGTGCCTCTCCATTCTTCCTCCAGACTCTGGGTCCTTGGTTTCCAAATGAGATGCAAAAGTTGCTCTCATCAGAAAAGAGGACTTTGGACCACTGAGCAACAGACCAGTTCTGTTTTTCTTTAGCCCAGGTAAGACGCTTCTGACATTGTTTGTTGTTCAGGAGCGGCTTGACAAGAGGAATACGACATTTGAAGCCCATGTCCAGGATCTGTCTGTGTGTGGTGGCTCTTGATGCACTGACTCCAGCCTCAGTACACTCCTTGTAAAAGTCCCCAACACTTTTGAATGGCCTTTTCCTGACAATCCTCTCCAGGCTGTGGTCATCCCTGCTGCTTGTGCACCTTTTTCTTCCACACTTTTCCCTTCTACATAACCTTCTATTAATGTGTTTTGGTACAGCACTTTGGGAACATCCAACTTCTTTTGCAATTACCTTTTGAGGCTTTCCCTCCTTATGGAGGGTGTCAATGATGGTTTTCTGCACAACTGTCAGGTCAGCAGTCTTTCCCATGATTGTGATTCCTACTGAACTAGACTGAGAGACCATTTAAAGGCTCAGGAACCCTTTGCAAGTGTTAATTAGTTAATTGGCTTAATTAGCTGATTAGAGTGGGACACTTTGAGCCTAGAATATTGCACCTTTTCACAATATTCTCATATTCTGAGATTGTGGATTTGGGGTTTTCATGAGCTGTAAGCCATAATCATCTCAATTATGAATCACGGCTTGAACTATCTTGCTACGCATGTAACGAGTCTATCTCATATATTAGTTTCACCTTTTAAGTTGCATTACTGAAATAAATGAACTTTTGCACGATATTCTAATTTTTCGAGTTTCACCTGTATAACCCAACATTACATCTATCTGTTAACTGGTATAATGTCTTCCAAGCTGAACTTGGATAAGAAATGGGTGGCAATATTTTGCAGTAGATACAGTTCAGAACATTGTGTACAGTTACAACCATAACTTATATAAAACTATGGGCCTAAGTATCACATATGAGTCATACGGGTTTCTATTCCAAAATGAAACAGAAATTACTTACTCTTACTTTGTAGAGGGGCCATTATTTTTGGGATTATAACTCCCTCATATTTACAGCCTTCAGAAACAAATACATGTCCCCAAAATAGAAAGAACGGACTTGCTTCAGGAAAATTGCCTACTACCTGCATATATGACAATGAGTCCTGCAAAGGAGAAGAATCCCTAACTGTGAATAAGGCTCACTTCAGATCTTTTGCTAAGAATAAAAGTGGTGAGAGCATAGTACTTTTTAAGTTCATTTCCTGAGTTTGGGTAGAGTATTCAACAGAATCTAAATTGAATGAGAACAATTGCACCCTGTTCTGTGGATAGGTTATTTTCAACCACTTCATAATATTCAGCAGGAACTGAACAAATTAGCGTTGTAGATCACATCTTTGGTGAAATTAGGAAATAAATGGAGGATGGTCCTTGATCTGATGAAAAGTGCAATATAACTGTAAAAACTAAAAATCTAATATCTGGTGCTCTATCAGTTCTATTCAGAAACGTATCAAGCAAACTGTATGTTACATTTCATACTCTTCCTGGGCACATTTTTGATAATGTAGTTGTTTATTTCTTTTACACTAATGTTGTTATTTTAAACCAGGTCCTACAAACACAAATTTTGCTAAAAACTAGACCCAAACTCAAAAAGAAAAGCATTGTCAGTGTCATCCCAATGAGAGAAATCTAAAACCCAACAATTTAGCGATGATGTTTTGATAGAAACCACATTCACTGCAGAAGGAACTGGTAATACAAACTCTCTGTAGGACGATGTATATATCAGTTTGGAAGGTCAGTGCAAAATGGGGAATTCCATCTCCTATGATTCCAGAGGAAGTGGAACTTGGCAATAAGTGAGTGTTTTAGATTATGAAATCTTTCCTTTTTAGGAAAGAAACTATGGCTACACTACCTATTTATGTTGCTTAGATTTCCTAAAACTATATGATGGACTACAATCTTGTTATGCCCTTATTTAGTATGACTTTTTTAAAGGGAAGGTTTAGTAAGAATTATAGCTTAATGAGATAGCACATGCTTTGCAAACAGGAAGTTCAAGGTTTAGACCTGGCTATTTCCAGGTTCCTTTCTAAAATACTAGAAAGCAACTGCTGGTCAGTCTAAACAATATTAAGCTTACCTGGCTAATATATTTGGTACAAGGCAAATTTATTCTGTAATTGAAAAAGTATTTCCAGGGCCTAATAGACTATTGTGCATATTATTTTAATAATCTAAACCAGTGCCCCCCAATCTTTTGAGTACCAGGGACCATTTCAATGGAAGGCGGTTTTTCCATGGCCCAGGGGGTGTGGTTTCATGCATTGCTTGGATCCTGTGTGTATGCAGATGGGGCTTCACTTGCTTGCGCGATCCAGTACCTGGCAGGCCACGGACCGATGATGGTCTGTGGCCCGGGGATTTGAGGACCCTGATCTAAACCACTTTGGCATATTCTTTATTGTGAGAAAAATTATATGTGGCAGAACATATTAATCTCATATTATAGATGAGTTAATGAATCCCAAGGAATCAGACATGCACAATCCCAGTGAAATTGCATCTTAGGTGAAATTTGAACCCTTTTATTCACTGCACTTATTTTATTTAAAGTAAATAAGAATAGATTTACAAACACAAAGATAAGTATATATACTCAGAAATGAGTAGAGCTCCCATATGAAAGCAATATTAAAACAGTGGGATTGAGCTGGATGTACTGAATTCCTTCTAGAATTCCTTCTGGTCCTGTATGTCAAATTTTTGATAAAATTTGCGTGTTTCTACCATTCTGAGTTCTGTATGTAACCATTTTGTGAAGAAAGGCAAATTGTCTGTACTCAGAGCTGAGTTGACCCTGGGACAATCTTAAAGTGTTGGCTGCCCCTCTCCTTCAGAGGTAAGGAATGTGAGGCCATCCAGATGTTTGCTAAACTCAGCATCTTTCACCAAACATCATGCTAGTGTTAACAAAACTTGTAGAATAGCAACATCTGGAAAACCACATGTTTGTCCATCCCTTAGGTAGAATTCTAATGAGGAAGTAGTCAAGTTAGACATATCTAAGTTTAATACTGTAGCTCTTCTTAGGCTCCGCTACCAATATTTATACTCTAAATTTTAAAAAAACACTTTCTTATCCATTTCTTCCCTTCAATTACATGAGTTTAAATATGTCAAAATGTAATTAGCCAACTGACATATCCTCTGTGTGAAGCTGTGTTTGAAGACAACTTGGTAACTGCCCTCAATTAGTGACAGTGAAAAGTCAGCCATGCTGGAGGCGATTGTCATCGGTTGCCTTATGTCTCTGAGCCCAATTCAATATATGAAAACACCAAATTAGACTTTTCTATCCATAATTTTGGGACAACAGCTTCTAGTACTTCCAGACAGCATGGCATGAGAACATTACAATCCCATCAAATGTTCAAGGCATCTTATGGAGGGATGGGTGCATTGAATAGTGTGGATCAGGATAAATCCAACCCATGTTATTCTTCCTGTACAAAAAGTATTCTGCTTCATTTGTTTTAATGATTTTTTTAAAAAAAGAAATGTCTAAAATTAGTTTTGTTCCCTCACATAAGAAGCATTTAAATACAGCTTCTCCTAATGTACAGTATATAATTGTAAAAAGAAACCTCTGTTGTTTCTTTCTTTTATGTAACTAGCAATGTTGTAAGCATTTTTTTTCCAGATTCATGTCTTCCCATAAATGTGGGGGGGGGGGGGGAGGGGGAAGTTGGTACAGATCTCCAATGCCTTTCGATTCTGCCATTTAACCACCAATAAAAAATGAACAAATGAAGCAAAAAAAAAAAAAAAAGACTAATATCTACTATTTTAGAATTTCTTTACACGAGCCCATAAGCAAAGACACAAGCTGAATGTTGTCCTAATGCTGTGTTTCTCAATGTTGGCTCTTTTAAAATGTGTGGACTTCAGCTCCCAGAATTCCTTAGCCAGCATTCCATCTAAAAAATTCTGGGAGTTGAGCCCAGCCCTTTTAAAGTTGCCACGGTTGGGAAACACGATGCTAAAAAGTAAACCAACCCACAAGCTCAGAGAACAAACCTTCACCCTCACCAATCCAAAATATTCCTTAAACATTATCAGAAAACAAAACAAAATAGAACTCAGATTTGTAATGACATATAGTAACAACGCTGAGAAGAACAGCAGAAATAAATTCTTCTGGTTTTCTTTTTCCACCTCCTGTCTGATTCCTTACAGTTGACTGAAACATTCAAGGCTCCTGCTATCCCTTTAATGGCTCTTTAAATCAGAGTTGAATTGGACAATGAGTCAAAGAAGAGGATCCCTTCAATAGCAATAGAATTGCAATAGCACTTAGACTTATATACCACATCACAGTGCTTTACAGCTCTCTCTAAGTGCTTTACAGAATCAGCACATTGCCCCCAACAATCTGGGTCCTCATTTTTCCGACCTCGGAAGGATGGAAGGCTGAGTCAACCTTGAGCCGGTCAGGATCAAACTGTCGAACTGCTGGCAGCCGTCAATCAGCAGAACTAGCCTGCAGTACTGCATTCTAACCACTGCGCCACCAAGGCTCTTCAAATGGAAGATAGTACTCAACAGCCTTTCACACATTTCTATAAACAGTTCCACTGGGAAGAAGGAACAGACCACGGCAGTCTGGAATGTATTCTTCTTGCAGAAATCCGTAGCATCATATAACAAAATCGAACTAACAAAATAAGAGGTGTGTATTTGTAAGTATATCGTATATCGTTTTCAACACAACTTACCTATCCCCAAATCAGAGATGGTTTCTAATTCCGTGGCACTATTAGCTTCCAAAATTGCTTGTGGCAATCTTAATGTATACGGAAGCAGATCTCTAGAGAATAAAAAAAGAAGGAAAGCAAGAGAGAGACAGAGTATGAGAAAGCAACACAATGTTTGCTCTGTGTATCAGTAAATTACCCGTATCTCTGAGTTACTGGTTTCTTGTTTATTCAGTTTGATGCTGCCTGATTCCAAACATTACTGGGTTGTTGAGTTGTGAGCAGTAATACATTAATTTGCAAGGTGGTCTCTAGATATGAGGTCCTAGTGAGAACGGAATAGCGGAGGCATCCTTGACATAGAACCAGGCTTTAATTCGCTTGTGTTTTTTTTAGAGATTTCTATGAATGATAACAATATATTATCAGCATTGATGATGCTAACCAGTTGGGGTAATGAAACATCTGCAAGAAAACAAGCATGCTCAGAGAGCACCAAGGCCTCCCTCATTTGTAATCCTGAGCTACAAATGTTCTCTGTTATTAAAATGTTATCGTTAGACCAGAATTGAGAGAAATGTTATTAGTGTTAGTAAGGACAAAGAAATGATGAAAAGAAAGTTGGAGTGTTGAAAAAGAATAAGCTTCAGACACAGAAAATGTACCCAGAGAAATGTGAACATATGAGTGTCCTTTGTTGATGGAGTGGCTGCTTGACCTGTTTAACATGCACGAGTCTGATGAAAACAAATTTTGCTATTCTGTTCAAAGGGAACGCAACAAAATTGAATGTAAGAACTAGGTGGGGATTAGTTTCTTACATGTGTTTATCAAGGTGTTTTGCAGGTTTCTGAGTGAAAGGGTATAAAAGACAGATGAAGAGACAATTGCCAAACTTTGGAAGTATATTGCAATTTTAATGGATATGCAGACCAGATTTTGGTTCTTTAGCAGTGATTTAGTAATGTATGAATTTGGGAAAGAAAATGTGCTGTACTTCTGTTGATTTAGAGGATACATATGATGCAGTGAACAGACTTGAAGTTTGGGGGGGAAATGTTTTGCATGAATATGGTGTTGTTGGTTGGTTGTTGAATTTGGTAAAGTCATGATGGAAATAAAACCTGCAGGAAAATCAGTGGAATGCTTAGGGAATTGTTTCAGTGAGTAACATTCAGGAGGGAGTCAAAAAAGAATGTGTTAAGTTGCCTTGTATGTTCAATGTATTAAATGTGCAAGATGTGCTTATGCATGATGATTTAAGAGGATAAGGATATGTATTCAGAAGATGCCTTTTGTAATAACTTTTGTCAAAAGAAGTGAAAAACAATGTAAAGGGCATGTTTCTGCTCATTTCCTTTTGTTATAAGGAAGTGAGAGTTCAGTATGTTGGGGGAAATGTAAAAATTAGCTGTGTGCAATAGGAATAATGAAGTGTAGGTGGCTATAGGGATTGGATCACAAATGACTGAGTGTTAAATCAAAGTGGATGGAAAACAAAATTGAGAGACGGTACAGAAAAAGCACAGTGATCTGAATAACAGAATAACAGAGTTAAAAGGGAACTTGGAGGTGATCTAGTCCAACCCCCTGCTCAGGCAGAATTCCAAACAAATGGTTGTCCAATCTCTTCCTAAAAATTTCCAGTGATGGAGTACCCAGAACGTCTGGAGTCAAGTCCTTCCAGTGATTAACTGTTCTAACTGTCATACAGTTACTTGGTTATACAGACACTATCCACGAGGAACAAATCATAACCTGCATAAATGAAGGAATACTAAAAGGGTAAATAGGAAGGGGACCTGTGATAAAACCATGATCAAAATGGAAAGAAGAAAAGAAAGCAAATTTATTTGTGGAAAATAGTGGGAACAAGCATATTTTGCCAGAACAAGAAGAGCGTGAAGAAATGTAGTGGATTTTCCTTATCTTTGTCTTTCCTAGTGCCCTTAAATTCTCTCTGCATTACTATTTCTTATTTCTTTTCTATGAACCACATAGTATTGTTTAAAGCAAAAAAGAAAGAGTGTGGCAGCTGTGTGTATATGAACATAGAAATAAGACCATGGGTGGTCTCGCAAATTTTTTTATTAATTACTTTTTTTTTGTCATAAACATAGCACTTAGGGATGGCCAACTATGGCATCTTTACAATCTGCAGACTTCAATTCCTAGAATTCCTGAGCCAAAATGGTTGGCTCGGGAATTCAGTGAGTTGAAGTCGTCAAGATGCCATAGTTGCTCACCCCTGTCTCAGAGTCTTTCTATACTACTCTGTTGCAGCCTTGAGATGGAATAAAAATGGCTAGTTCCATTGTTGTCATTATCACCCTTTTTCTCAGTCACTATCAGTCTTTGATTCACTTCAAGGCAATGCATGGCAAAGTTTGCACATTTGTATACCCTGAGGCTGTCCTTAGACATAATCAGAATAATAGGAAAACATAACTTTAACACAGGCAGAATTGAGAACAATTTAAACCTTTCTCATACCTTTCTCAAGCTGTCAATGAATGGAAGGCAACATAATAGAAACTGAGCAGAAAAACAGATGTTGCCAAGGTATATTTCTGCCATAATTAGTTACCACTTTGGAACGGTCCTTATTCAAGATCCCCACTTGTGATAATTGCCATTTCTTTATTAGGGATTTATAACAGTTTATAGCATCATCCTACAACTGTTGGGCCAATCAAACATGAAGAAGGTATAATATAATATAATATAATA